ATGGTGATAGTAGACTTGCCCAGCATCTACCGCACCCTCTCCTCCGCCATCTGGACCTGCTGTCAAGACAGAGTCAAGAAGACCGGAAGCGGGCGAGGGCGTAGGTGGATGGCGCAGTCGAGTCCGCACCTTGGCGTTCCACTCCCCGCCCTCTGGCCCACACAACCAATAGACAGGTTTGTGATCAACAACAACAACAAGGGGGGAGGGGTGGCAGGGGCCCCCATGTGCGCGACAACTGCCGACAACCGAGGTCCACCACCGCACCCCGAAATGTTGGCATTTGTTGTGGTGCGCAAATCTGATAAAACCTGCCAGAGTCCAATATGGTCCCTGTGTTGGTCCAGCGCGTCTATCACGTGGCCCGTCTGGGGAGAACATCTGCCTAGACGCCTGCAATACAAGCTCCTAGGACAATGGATTACTCATCGCGGAGGATAAGTTCAGTTAGGCACTCTTGCGTCGAATCTAGGCACCGACATTATTCAGCACTTCGCAAACTCGGTGAGCTGAATCGAGCAAGAGACCGACGCCTCCAGTGATTTAAAGTCACCTGTGGCAAGTAAACTGACGCAAAGATGATGAAGCGAATGCCAGTCTTTAAGTTAGGAGAAGTTTCACTGTTTCACATGGCACATGACAGGGCTGTGTGATTGTCACTTATAACTTACGTTTGCACCAAAGCAATTTCTACCAAATTACACAACCCAACTTATGTTTATTTGTTGTTTTGGTAGGGCTAGGATATGTGCAACCACTACCCTATTTTCCCGCAAGGGGTTTTTTAACGTTTAAAAGGAGCATGTAGTGCTAACAAGATTTTTTACTTCCTTAAATACTCAAAAGGTCCGATTTACGTCTCCTTGAAGGCCTCCCTGTCATAGTTCAGTGGGGCACACATATTCGTGAGCGGCCATAGCCTAACAAACTAAATGTTTTGACGTCAATACAAGATCATGCCTGCTCCTGTGATGTCTGACAATTCGTTCCGATTGCAGACCGAAATACGATCGTTCGGCTTTGTCTTGAGACTTCATTTTATGCCCAAAGCAGGCGGCCACATATAGATTAGCATTCTTTCCTAGAGGTGAATTTCCTAGTGACGGGAGAGAGAGAGAGAGGGAAGTAAAGTGAAAATCTCCAACTTATTTTCCTCATCCGTCAATTAATCACTAAGTTCGTGATAACTCAGAGCTCGCATTTGGACTCCATTAACAGTTTTGGATGAGCGTCCTAGCAATATATCGACAGTTAGTTAGCTGTTATCTGGAGTACCCAGAATATACATAAGCAGCTCACTAAGAGTGTAACAGGCCAGACGCAGACACTTGTATCAGGGTCGTTATTGACAATGAAATGGGGTATATGAACATGTCAAGTACGCGAGTGACCCTCACTATTGTGGTTAGGATCTCACTTGATCCCATTCTGTACGCCCGCCAGCTTGCTACTGGCGACAGATTCATACGGTCGCGCTCGCAGAGCTTATCCGATTTTCAGATTTCCCTCAGTCTATGGTGGGAGAGGACTGGCTGTTGGCGGCATATGAGTTGGAGTTGAGCTGCGTTCATCGCAGATAATGCACCAGACCGTCTACAACAGACGACCCAACCTTGTACGAGGAAACAATAGACCGAAATAATCGTGTCGGAC